AAGAAGTCTTCCTGTTACTTCCCTCGTAGATTTCACCTCACCTCTTTGATGTCTGACCTGTGAGGAAGAATTGAATGAAGCTGCACGCTCTGTGTTATTGCACTGTGGTGTGTGTGTGTGTGTGTGTGTGTGTGTGTGTATGGTAAGTCTCATTAGGGAATTTTACCCCTGCAAAAGATTTCGCAATAAGGAAAACAAGGACGATAAAGAAAATGAAAGAAGGAGAGAGAGCAGGAGGAAATCCAGAGGAGAAGAGGACTGGGGATATTGTAATTAGTTGCACCTGTTTCCTTTAACCCAGCTCCAGTTTCCCTCTACAAACGCATGCAGATTACCCATCAAAGCCCCTCGTTGCTGCCTCTGCTCAATGGATCCTTTGTTGCCAGTTGTCAGGGAGGCGGCCCACAAAAGTATGTAACACAAGCAGGCCACATTGCTCTGGAACCTACAGTACATGCAAGCCTCCACCGGCCACAGTAAGAATAATAGGGAGTGCTTGTAGACACAGAGTCTGCATCACTCCGGACTGCATGTGAAACACTGGTGGCACTTTGTTTTTCTTTTTTTCGACGTGACCGTTGCATCATCTGTCAACACTCTAAAATGGGCCTGTATTAGCTGTTAGGGAAGAGAAACGAGCTCTGCCACTCAGGTCTGATATCAACAGTGGAAAGATGAATTTGCTTCTTTTTGAGACAAATGCATATGCATGGATGTATTCAAGGGGCTGTACTCCTACTTGTACTGATACTCCTACTATTAGCATTACATAGTCTCCAATAGTTTTACCTAAACTTAGACAGGAATAAAAGTGATTTAAACATATTACCATCCTCTGATGACACTGTCTTGTTTTAAGAATGGTTTGTGTCGCCATCTCTCCTGGTTCTCTTTGTGTCCTCCTGGCTCACACATATCCTGCAAAGACTTTTATTTAACTACTTATTAACTCTTAGTAGACATATTGGAGTGATTATAAACACACCTTAAAGGGTAAGGCTGGTAATATTCTATATTTACCCTATAATTACAATCTGTATACAACTTAAATTACAGCTTTATGTCATGCATATATACTTCTATTTATCTTTAACAAGCTTTTTGCTTTTTATTTTTTAACCAACTGACAAAAGTATATGGTGCATGCTTCTCTACAGTGTTATTTATTGATGATCTGATAACCTTTAACTGCTTTTTGTTGGTTTTGGGGCTTCGTATTGAGGGGGTTAGTTGGAATTAAGTTACATTTCTTATGTTTGTCTTTAACTACTAACTGAAACGTCTCACTTGTTTCAGCTTCTGGGTGCTTGTATTTTAAGACGCAGTGATGTATTTAATTCTATCTTTCTTTTCTGTTCATACTTCATAATGTCTATAGCAGATGGCTCATAATTTGGTTTCTACTTCCTCTTGGCTTCTGATTTATTTAAGATTGATGCAGACAATTTTTGGTCAAACCTGAAACTATCAGTAGCACATTACAGTAGTTCCAGAACTACTGATAATGATGTTGACAGCTGCTGTAGCAACATTAATGCAACTAGTGCATCACAGATCTCAGTCAAATTATATACTGAGCTCCTGGCTGATGGCCTTCATAATCAATATCACGTATGGATTGTCCAAGTTTCAATTTGTAGATAATCTGGATCCAGCAGCTTTCCTATTTCCTCCATATGGTCTCTACATAATTGAAAACACTTAAGAGGAGTGACATTTAGTCACAGTGCCCCTGATCCTAGATCAGCCAGTCCTCCGCACAGCTGCTGCAGTCTAATAGCACTCAGTTCAAGAAACTGTCCTTGATTGGGTTATTATCGAGATCATTTAGCGTTTCATAAGAGAAGTACAGCGAGGAGTGATGGTGATGTGGTGGTACAGCGGTATTCTCTGTCATAGAATTGGATGCTGATAGGTTCACATGCTCACCTCATGGAACGTATCTGACAATGAACTCTGCGGCGGAGGCAGGGGGTAAAGGGGGAGAGAACATTCTGCATTCAAGCGCTAATTAGAAAAATTAGATCTATGAAAGGCAGCAAGTGATCTAGGCCTTCAACCTACGTCTGTGTACCGCTGTAGCTGCACAAAGAGGAGGCAACAATAAGCACTGAGGAGGAGGAGGAGGAGGGGGGGGATAAATAATTTAATCCATTATCTACTCTGCAAAGCTCATCAGCACTGCTACACAATGGCCACGATTGAATTGCTGATTGCATTTCTCTCCTACCCTCCAGGAGAAAATGCCCATGCACCACTATGTGCTCTCAGCCTGCCAGCTCAACCAAGAGCGAGAGAAAGACAGAGAGAGAGGGAGGGAGAGACAGAGTAGTGTAGTGTCTTCCACCAAGGTCAAACTACAATACAGCAATCTAATTAAGAGTATCAAAGAGTTTCCTGTACAGGGTCAACCTCCCTGTTGTGCTCACAGGCTCATATTGCCCATTATGTATTGCATCATGTACTCCTACATGTAAATGATGTGTGATGCTGTGATCTTCACATACATATTCTTTTTAATTGATAAGCCTGCATCCATAAAAAGAGTTGTAGCACTATAGTCTTTCTGTGATCATTTGGCCAGCAGTATGTACCCATGGATTACTGCTCAGGTAAAGTGCTGTCTGTGGCAGCACTTTACTTGCGGCATGGCTCTTGGGATAGCGATGTCGATCTGTTTCGAGTGAAATGTCTCGTCAGCCATTAGATTAATTGCCATGAAATTTGGTACAGACATTCATGTCCCCCTCAGGATGACATGTAATAACTTTGGTGATTCCCTGATTTAACCAGTACCTTGGTTATTACCAAATGCCTGCTTAACTACCGACATTCCCATCAGCCTCAGCACTAGCAGCGTTCAGTGCTAATTAAAATGTTAGCACACTAAACAAAGATGGTGAACATGGTAAACGTTATATCTGCTAAACATCAGCATGTTAGCATTTTCCACTATGATGTCTTTCAAACATCACCAGGTGTTTATCTCTTAGGGAAATGGATGATTCGCTATGTGACATGAATGTGACGCTAATACATGAGAGGCACAAACAAGGGCTACAAGTACACCCCCCAGAGCTGCTAGCATGGCTTTAGACTGTGTAACAGGCTAGAAGGCATGAAACCATTAATGGATGAATCTGGCAATGCTTTATGATGGTGATGGCTTCCATCGTCGCCCCCCCACTCCATCAACTGCAGTCTATCATCTGCACCAGGCTCCAGTAAAATAGGAATATGAGGGACACTAAAGTTTTCTTGGCCCAGTGCCTCTGACATGCTGGCTTAATTTTACCTTCCATTTCAGCATGGTGCATTTACATAAAACACAGCGAAAAAGTAGTACACATAATGGTCCCCTTTGGCCAAGTGCTTTGAGGTCCTGTCCACAGTCCCAGTGAGGGGCAGTCAAGCTGCCGATGCTCTGCTCTGTTTGTTTTATGGAGCAGTAGTGAAACCACTTTGAGGTCAGCTAGCTGCAAAAACTGTGCTGGGTCTCCAATGGTCTGCTGAAAAAAGGGTTCAAAACCAATCCAGAAGGCCATTTCTAGTAGTCCAGCCAACTTTCATTGACTAAAAGAGGTCATTACTCTGCACAGCTTCAGCAGTAACAGGATCAAATGCTCTGGATGGGTTGTAACAGAGACATTTTACTGATTTTACTTATGGCTGCTGGCCTCGCTCATCAATTCCTCTTACAAAGGTGGTTCTAGAGGGAAAGGTACATCATTAAAATGCCCCAAATGTCCCCTTTCACAACATGCAGCAATATGGGTACCCCATTTGCACACACTGAATTAATTTGAGTGCTGTCATTACGCAAGTACAGCACAAATTGTCCAAGACCAAGTAAAACTATTTATAGCTATCACAAGGCCTGAGAGCCAAGTGTGCCTAATGGTGTAATTTGTATAGTTAATGGTAATGCACTATTAGTTTGTTCCATTTGGCTTTGCACAGGTGCATTAATGGGGGCTTGGTGAACCGTTTCAGTCAGTCCAAGCTCCCATGCTGCTTTCTGGAGGCTTTTGGAAGGACCACGGCTCCCTCTGGTGGCTGAGAAAAGAACAGCGAGACAGAAACTAGTGCCAAAACGGTCCACTTCAAACGCAGGCGTAGGACTGAAGATTATTTTGCTGAAAAACCTTTTGCTGAATAGATAAAAATCAAGTGGGAAGACCTGGGCTGCCCTTACAAACTGCACAAAAGCAAAAAGCCACCAACAAACAGTTCCCACAACTGTCACAACAACAAAGGATAGACTTTTGAAATATTGTGTTCCTAATTAACCTTCAAGCTCATCAGCCACAATCAATACAGTGTGTGGCCTTTTTTTCCTCTAATTGAGATGAAGTAATTATCAGACTGTATTCATCTCGTTAATGAAACAATGTTCCAATATGCCTGCAGCTAAACTGTTAATTGAGTTCTATTTTCTCAGACGGGCAGCCTCTCCTTGTGTCCATGGCCACAGAGCGTCAAATATGGGTTGGGGCCTTTGTGCTCGTCTCTGTGTAGACACAAGAACTGGAGCGTGCTAGTGCTTCTCCCTGCAGACACTCTCCCTCCCTCCTGTCTATTCTCACATCAGAGAGGAGGGAAGAGTTGGTAATACAGCTGACTTCAGCAGATCATCCCGTCCCAGTCTGTTATTTCACGGTTTCAGTGGTTAAGTACTCCCTGTTGAGTAAGATATAGCGAGGCAATTATTCTGTAATTATGGAGCCAAAAGACGAGAAATGGAGTCAGGAGTGACTGGCTCATGTACATCCCTGCAAGGGAGCAAGAAATGGTGAAATAAAGCCTCCTATTGTGACATAACTTTAAAAACTATAATAATCCAAAAAAAGGTAGTCTAATATTAACAGAAAAATTAATGTGAGTACTAAAGGGGAACTCATTTTAAAAAATCAAAGTCAATATATCAGTCACTGTGCTACTCAGTTTGTGAAAACAGTTTTGGAAGTGCTTCGTTAAGTCTGAAAAAATTACTCATGGAGTAATTTTCATTTGGACATATTTTAATAGAAAGCCTGCATTACAATCAATCAATTAATTGCAAACATTCTTTGGACCCAGCTTCTCAAACGCTGGGCTTATTTGCGTTTCGTTTTATAAAACTGGAAAGTGAATATCTTTTAGACTGAAAGAAAAAAAAACTTGTTACAGATAAAGATAACCGATTTTAGAATGTTCTTCAGACTAAACAAGGAATTTGAAAAGGTCATCTTGGGCTCTGTGAGAGGCTTTTCCCACTATTTTCAGTGTTTGTTTGTTAGACCGAATGATTAATTGAGACAAGAATCAGCAAATGAATGAATTATGAAAATTATCCTTAGTTTCTGCATTTACCTGGCAAATCACAGATGCAATTGAGTTGCATAATGGAAAATGTAGGATCCATTTTAAAAGTCAGGATGGTTTGCGCTTTGCTGCTTCTACTTTGGTTATTGTTTTTAGGCTGTAGGCAGGAACCATGTTTTTGTGAGGGGTCTTTAGGGATATTGAGATTGACTGGTTGTCCCACCTGTTTCGCCAAGCCTGAAATCTCTTCATTTTTTGATTGATGCAATAAAACATAAAAAAAGAAAAAGACATGCCTTTTAACCAGACTGAAATACTAATCCTTCCATCCAACAATCCAAAACCTGTTAGATGAAACTGAACGAACGAATACAGATCTTCACGGTGCCCAAAGGACAGACTCTAATGATATCGTGATCCCCTGACTTTTTCTCTAGCACCATGATATTGACAGTTGTGCTTCTGAGTAAGATGTTTGAATGACACACAACAGAATTTTAGCATTGACATTGTGTTACTGTAGTACACTAATGGGAGCATGCTAGTAAGCACCACTCTGTCACAGTACAAACTCACAAAGCTGCTAGCGTGGGATCAACCATACAGTACTACAACTGCATTCAAACGTCAGTAACCAAATTGATAAAGAAATTAAATTGAGTTATCTAGAAGCTCGCAGGTCTGCTGTCCATAAAAGAGATGAGATTGTTTTGAAAGGTTTCTGCCTGATAACATTTTGAGGGACGGACAATATTGCTCAAAATCTTTGATAAAAGAACATATGGTATGATGTTATATTAATGTCAAATCCTTATCAGTCTCATCCGGAAATTTCTTATAATTAAGTGATAGTCATCTACAATGACAGCATGGTGTTTGGACATGAATAATAATACCCATGCTGAACAATTGTGTCGTAAACGCCACCTTCCAGGCAGGGAGGGTCTAACAAAAGATGCTATCAAGTTGCACTATGGGAAATTTGGAAACCAGGGATTTTCATACACATCGTCGTCATACACAGTCGGTGCTTGGTCTATACTCTAAAAGTCTCCCAAAATTTAGGCAAGTGCAATTCCCTTTAAAAACCAAAGCTACTTCAAAATTCTACAGTGGTGCCATTAAAACTGCCTCACTAGTGCAAGACATCAATAGACCACAACACACACATTAGACACAATCAACAACTCGCAGTAAAGAATACAGTAAGAATAAAATGTGCCAAGAAATTTGCGGTTACTTGTTTATGCTTAGGCTGTTAATGGGGTAAGTGTGAAACAGATGAGAAACAGGATCTGCAGTTCATAAAGATTACACGCAAAAAAAGAGGAAACATGACTGTGGGATCACAGGGAAATGAACTTTGTAATAAAGGCACTATCAGTTTGACCTCTGGCCCATTCTCTTTCTGCTGGAAATGACTCTGCGACCAAGTCAAAGCTCTGGTGATCCCTGAAGTCAAAACTTTCTGTTCTTTTTCACATAATCACATGCACGTCACTATCTCTGTGGTAGAATTCTAAAAAAATAAAAAAAAAAGTGTAAACATTGAGAACATCTCAGTGGGATAAAAAAAAAAAACATAACATAAAAACATTTGTTAGTCACGCACCAATGATGCAATGGTCCAATCTTTTTCTACTGTTTGGTCCAAAAACATGTTCAGGGCATGTTATTACAGTATGTACAGATGCAGCTCGAGATTTGTGTGTTTGTAACAGTTTTATCAGTTTTTAAAAAAGAGTTTGTGCAGCTAAAACGTAGTATGGGGGAAAAAAAAGAAAGTAATGCAACGCGGAGCTTAACAAGCTGTCTGAGCTCATTTCATTTTCAAATGTGTCAGGGGACAGAAAAACTCTTTTTTAATAAGGTTTTAAACTTGTTGAACTTGCCCCGCCCCCAAAAAAAACAAACAAACCAGAACGTCATAAATCAAAGGCTGCTTGTGTTTGGGTTTTGATGCATCACATTCAGTAACTATTTCACCCAGCTCTGGGCTCAGATTCTTTCTCACCGTTCAGACTTGACTGTTCATCCATGTTAGGTTTTCTCAACAGCTGCACCAGCAAACACACATTCCTTGTAGAAATTCCACTGTACTGCCTGAAAGGGATTTTCTGTAACTGCAACAGTGTCAAAATCTAAATCCCAGAAAAAGCACTTGAGCTTTCACCAGCATCACTCAATGAACGTGTGCGTCTCAGTGTAAATGACTTCCAATTGAGGCCTTGTAAAGTCCCTGTGCAGCCCTAGTCACTCTTGGCTACACCTCTAGCTCACTTTGGGGTAGATCTTTTCATAGAAGAAGCTCTGAGCCAGGACATAAAGTTCTCCATCCTTTTCCCTGACTGCGTGGGCACGCACAAACTGAAACTGTTCCAGTGCAAACTCGTAAAACTCATTTTCGATTTTCCAGATGTCAGACTGCTGCAGCTTGGCTATTGTCTCTTTGGTTGGAGGCTTCTTTTCGGTGGTCTTTCGCAGATGGGACTTCTTTCCTGGAGAAACACAGGAACGTTTAATGAGCGTCAGTCTAGACAACGCAGGGTTACTACAGATTAATGAACCAAAAAAGCTTAGTAACATAAATTCTTCACTTGAATGATGATTTCGCTACCAGCAGAACTCACTAATGAACACCTCAAAAAAAGGGAGAGGGGTCCAACTGCAGACCTCCACTGTCAGGACAGGAAATAACCATAAATAAACTGTCGGTCCCCCACAGGGCGTAACGTGATGCATTCTCGGTTGTTTTGCTACTCTACACATCGCGACAACGGCAGGTGACTGCTTAGCATTTTCCCAAACGTTGAGTAAAGTCTGAATGCGTTGCTCTAGGTATATGTTCGCCGTCAAAATATCTACCGCTGTCAATATTGTACATCTAAATCACACAAATTACAGAATGTTACATGCGTGTAAGTTAGGTTATTTGTCGTTCTACATAGGTAACATTAGGCTACACCAACGGTGGCTAGCGTTAGCTCCTGAAGTAGTAGGATTCGCTTTATTTCCTTTGGATAATGTAAGCTACTCAGACTGTATGAAGCTACTGTGTGTTCGGCTTTATTAAACTTTTTTTGTGAAGCATTTGTGAAGAAAGGGCCCAGGTCTGCGTTTGTCTTATGTTGACTATGATGCTCAGGTTAGTTATTTGTCCAAAAGAAGATAAAATAAAGATCTATATTGTTTAGACCGTTCGGTATAGCTTTTTCACACTTGAAAACGCCAGCTGCTCTTCTGTAAACGCCCAGCAGGGAACGCTAGCGTGCGTTTGAGGCGCAGCGGTTTTTCCTCCTGCTTAGGTTGCTATGATACATTAAATCCGTGGTTGCAAGTAATTCTACCTAACGTTACTGGATGTAAAAATGTCAACACAGAGTAGATTACTTGCTCTGGCTCTTGCTCTGTATGAAGAGGAGGCTGAAGCAGGTAGAGAGAGAGGACGGACTGGCCGTATGTGGGTTTATGATTTTGTGGGCGCGGTAACATCTCGGCGAGTACCACCATTTGGTCCAAGTGGACGAGGCCCGGTTCCAGGATAGTAACTGTTGCTACGGTATGGTGTTTGTCCCGCCCCTCCTGCACTGTGATTGGACGGCTGGGGAAAAAGTGACAGTGACGAGCGCAGCGTTTTTCCCCAAAGTTTAACATTTTTCAACTCTCGGCGTCTGTAAAATAAACGCTGCTGCCGTTTTTACCAGCTTGTAAAAACGCGGCGCTCCCATTGGAATGAAGTGAAAAAAAGACGCTGGCATCAGAAAAAAACGCTTTGGTGGACCAGGGCCCTTACACAGGACAAGACTTTGCTGGCTCTATGAATTCATCTTAGTTGAATTGAAGTTTATGTAGCGTTACTACGACAGTGTTTCCCAACCCTCTCCTGGAGAAAGTTACCGCCTGTCCTGCATGATTTAATCTCTCCCTGCTTCACAGCTGATTGAAGCAGCTTCAGGATTCATAACGAGTTGACAGTTTGAATCAGCTGTTTTGTTCATGTTTAGGGAATTTACAGTTTGATTGTCCACAAGCTGTAGTCCATTTGATCCAGCAGGGTTCTAGTTACGGTCCATAAGGAGGGTCTGAGCTCTTCTGGAAGCAGTAAAATCATGCATCTGTGGGGGTCAGTAGTTCATTTACCTACAGCCATTATTTTTAATCATATATGTATTTTCATTGAAATAATTATTTACATTAATACGATAAACAGGCTAAAATAAACACGTTTTCCAAACGAACTATGCTGCGCACCGCATGAATTGTCATTACGACAGGATTAATAATTAATATGATACCCTAAAGGGCGGATTTGCGGTCTCTCCCTGGGCAGTAGTCTGTTTCAGGCTTTTGAAACTTAAACTTTGTTGCAGTATCACACACATCTGGGGCAAATAAATAGTGCCTGTAAAAAAGATACTGTTACTACTAGAATGATTGAAGCGATATACAGTGGGCTTTGTTGCTACACTGGCAAGTAAATGTGTTAAGTAGAATAGGCTCAAATCAATATGCTATATTAAAGGAATTAGCCTGCTAGTTTCCTGTTAAAATGTTGACTAAATAATTAAATATAAATCAACGACAAAATCCCTTCCCCTATAAGTGTCTACATGATTAAATATTATAATTTTTGACTGCGTTTCCTGTGAAATCGCACGCTTTAATGTTGTATTTTTTGCGTGTATTTCCTGTCCTGACCAGCCTGACAGAGGAGGTCTGCAATGGAAGTTGCAGTTGGACCCTCTGGAAAAAAGGAGGCGGCATTTGTTGTGTGTACCTGTTCTGAAAAGCTCTGTGGCTCCCTTGAAGAAGCGTGGCAGTGCTGCCTCCAGGATCATGATGAAGTCCTCCAGCTCCTCAGTTACTCCAACCAGCAGGTACTCATTCAGCAGGTTGTACTTGGCCTGTTCCAGGGCCCAACTACTGCCTACGTTCCTGCACACATTATTAACTACTTTCAATAAATCTGAGATCAATCAGTTTGTGTTTCTACTGTTTGTGCCCCAACGTAGTATCCGTGCAGGAAAAATTCAATGATTTGCTTCTGATGCTGAAGTAAGTTTCAAAATGTGCTTTTTGGCTGAACTATGAGGTAAATACATAGAAAAGAAGTGGACGTAGTCACCATGACGTCACCCATTGGTTTGTGCACTACTCATTTAAAGCCTTGATGTTTGGCATTTTGGGCGCCGCAATCTTGATTTTTTGCAACATTAAAAAAAATCAAGATTGTTTAACACCATTACAAATCCCTGCAACTCTGCTCCTATTACACCTCCACTGGACCTCGGTGACTCTTTCCTAAAATTCTTTGTTGAGAAGTTTTTTGCTCTTCGATCTTCTGCAACCACATCCTCTGACCATGATCCCTCTGTTCGTCCTATGTGCCTTGCGGTCCTAGATCAGTTTGAGCCCATATCTGAGTTGGTCCATCATCTGCGGCCCACAAATTGCCCTCAGACAGCATTCCCTCTCTTCGTTGGACCATGTATTTTGTCATTGATAAATACCTGTCTTGTCTCTGGTCATGTTCCGTCCGCCTTCAAACACGCTGTCGCGTACAGCCCCTGCTAAAAAAGGAAAGTCTCGACTCCTCTGTTCTTTCTAACTTCAGGCCCATCTCTAAACGGTCTTTCTTATCTAAGTTAGTAGATAGTAGTTTTTACCCAGCTGCAAACATTTTTAATTAATAACAATGTTTATGAAAAGTTCCAGTCCGGCTTCAAACCCCGTCACAGCACAGTTTTTAATGACTTGATTTTTACTGTTGACTCAGGAGTCTCTGCCGTCCTAGTGCTCTTAGACAAGTCATCTATTCAGCGCCTGCAGTTAGTCCAAAATGCTGCTGCCCGCCTCCTGACAGGAAAGAAGAGGGACCACATCACACCTGTGTTGCGCTCCCTCCCCTGGCTTCCTGTTCATTACAGGATTGATTTTAAAATCTTACTTTTAACTTTTAAATGCCTTAATGGATTGGCTCCATTGTACTTAACAGAGGTTCTTCACGTTCATACTCCAGCTAGAGTGCTGAGATCCAGTCTCCTCCTCCTGGATGTACCCAGAAGCAGACTTAAAACCAGAGGCGATCGAGACTTTAGTGTAGCTGCCCCTAACCTGTGGAACAACCTGCCAGTCCATATCAGAACTGGTTCAACTCTCCAACGTTTTAAATCACTGTTAAAAACACATCTCTTTTCTTTGGCATTTCCTTCGAAGTCTGTTATTATTATTATTCTTGGCAATTTTAATATCACTACATATCGTATACTGTATATTATAATTGCTGTACTTTTACTGTGTAGTGTCTTGTTGTTGTATTTTAACCTGTGAAGCACCTTGGTTGTTTTAAGTGTGCTATATAATAATGCTATATATATATATATATCACATAGCGATATTTGAACGAGACGGTGGCGCTAACTAGCCTGGTTAGCAAGCTGCATCCCCACTGCACTTTTTAGATTGCTTAGCTTGTTCAAAATGTGGATCTCACATTGGTTCACCTACAGCATTAACACTGAAACCACACGACAATGGCGGAGATAGTGCTAAATATTCAGCGCTTCCTTAAAACTTTATAAAACTACAACTCTGTTTCAACACATTCGTTTATAACGTATAACAGACCTGCTTGATGATGATAACTCTGTTTCAACAACTGACTACCACATCGGAGAATATACATACAGGTGCTGGTCATATAATTAGAATATCATCAAAAAGTTGATTTATTTCAGTAATTCCATTCAAAAAGTGAAACTTGGATATTATATTCATTCATTTCACACAGACTGATATATTTCAAATGTTTATTTCATTTAATTGTGATGATTAAAACTGACAACTAATGAAAATCCCAAATTCAGGATCTCTGAAAATTAGAATATTACTTAAGACCAATACAAAAAAAAGGATTTTTAGAAATGTTGGCCAACTGAAAAGTATGAACATGAAAAGTATGAGCATGTACAGCACTCAATATTTAGTTGGGGCTCCTTTTGCCTGAATTACTGCAGCAATGCGGCGTGGCATGGAGTCCATCAGTCTGTGGCACTGCTCAGGTGTCATGAGAGCCCAGGTTGCTCTGATAGTGGCCTTCAGCTCTTCTGCATTGTTGGGTCTGGCGTATCGCATCTTCCTCTTCACAATACCCCATAGATTTTCTATAGGGTTAAGGTCAGGCCAGTTTGCTGGCCAATTAAGAACAAGGATACCATGGTCCTTAAACCAGGTACTGGTAGCTTTGGCACTGTGTGCAGGTTCCAAGTCCTGTTGGAAAATGAAATCTGCATCTCCATAAAGATGGTCAGCAGCGGGAAGCATGAAGTGCTCTAAAACTTCCTGGTAGACGGCTGCGTTGACCTTGGAGCTCAGAAAACCCAGTGGACCAACACCAGCAGATGACATGGCACCCCTCTTTGTGAATCCCCCCACATTTTTGAATGGGTTTTGTTTCACAATCCTCTCCAGGGTGTGGTTATCCCTATTGCTTGTACACTTTTTTCTACCACATCTTTTCCTTCCCTTGGCCTCTCTATTAATGTGCTTGGACACAGAGCTCTGTGAACAGCCAGCCTCTTTAGCAATGACCTTTTGTGTCTGGCCCTCCTTGTGCAAGGTGTCAATGGTCGTCTTTTGGACAGCTGTCAAGTTAGCAGTCTTCCCCATGATTGTGTAGCCTACAGAACTAGACTGAGAGACCATTTAAAGGCCTTTGCAGGTGTTTTGAGTTAATTAGCTTATTAGAGTGTGGCACCAGGTGTCTTCAATATTGAACCTTTTCACAATATTCAAATTTTCTGAGATACTGATTTTGGGGTTTTCGTTAGTTGTCAGTTATAATCATCAAACTTAAAAGGAATGAACACTTGAAATATATCAGTCTGTGTGGAATGAATGTATACATTATACAAGTTTCACTTTTTGAATGGAATTACTGAAATAAATAAATTTTTTGATTATATTGTCATTTTGCCATTTTTTTTTGAGGGAATTGGACTTCTTTTTGCACCGAGTGGAGTCTCGACCCCTGCTGGAGGTTCTTGCTTGGGTAAATATCTAATCTTGATTTTCAGAAGAATATTTCAAGTGCATATTTTCCGTTGCAGTTATTTTCTAGTTTGTAGATTTGTTGTCTACATTAAATTGTACCAAGCACAATCAAACTGATCTTGTTTATACAGTTATAGAATCACATAGGATGATACAGTTAATTATTGTTGAGGCCTTCCCAGAGTTTTTGTTTTAGTTAAAGCAGCTGTATTTGTAATTTTTATAATAATGCATTAAATGACAATGTAAAAACAATGTGATAAAGGGAAAAGGAGTCACTCTTTTTCCAGCCCCCCTCTGCTTTACGGTGTTTTATAGCGAGTTATATCTTACTGATTTTGTTATCGGTCCCCCAAAACTTTACTGTTTTGATTCACTCTTACAGTGTTGTTTTCGGTTGCAAGCTGCCTGTTTTCAGAGAAAAAGCTCTAAAATCCCACAGTACACCACCTGCTCAGCACGAAATAACACAATTAGCAACTAGCTAGTGAACTTATTGGAGCTTTTAACAGCTACGGAGAGAGATATTTCCTCCAGGAGTAGGTAAAGACCTAAAAGAGCCAGCCATCAGCCAGAAACACAACTCTAAACTAATGTTGCTCTGTAAGTTGCTGGAAACAAGCAAGTGTTTGCTAATCTATTTAAAGAGATATCTGAATGCAGATATCTGTAGGCAAGGGACAAGATTTTGGTATTGGAAGCGTTCTGGTTTCCGTTTGTTATGCGAGTCGTACTGACCTATCACGTCTGAGCTGGCTTTGGTTGCATGCAGGTAAAAAGTCCATGTGGAGATCAAAAGATGCGGAAAGCATTGGCCAAACTGCAGTATGACAACAATTTTGCTTTTCGTCAATTATTATGTTTTTCTTCCACAAAATCTTGGGAGAATGATGTTGAAAGGATGCTGAAATCAACAGCCACCCGCTTAAACTTTAACTTGCTGCAGCTTGTTAGGACGCTGTTAATTGTGTAAGTTATAATTTAAAAAAAAGTGGGTCTTGCAATCTGAAAATTGCAAACAATTCATTTGAAACATTTACTGTGATTGTGTTGAGTTTCTGATGCAGCCCACTCACCAGCACTCGGAGTGGTGGCCGCAGAAGAAGGGGATCTGCAGCCAGAGTTTCTCAGGAGCACAGTCAGACCCCGCTGACGACACACACTCATCAAAGGTCTAAAAGACAACACAGACACTTGCTAACCATACATTTATGTGCCGACAAAACAATGGGCCTTGAAAGAAAAGATTTATTTTAGGAGGGCTGGTGAGCTCTAAATAAAGACCTTTTTGTCCCCTTGTTTCCTTCGTCGAAGACCAGGTCTGTAGTCGTCTCCAAAACGTAAGAAGTAGTAGTATGACACCAGGCGCTCAATGGGGTCCCTCACCACATTTATGTACATCGGCTTCCTCTTCGCGCCATACCTTAAAGAAGAAAGGGGTTGACGTATTTTTTTTTTATTTGCATTGACACTTGAATACTAGTTTTAATTCCAAAAGACATCAAACCACAGAGCTGCCACATTTCTAACCCAACTAATAATGTTTATTGCACTACAGAATCAGTGACGAACACTTACAGCATTAGGATAATTACCTGTGATTACAGAAATGATAGTGTCAGGGGAGATAAGGACAACAATGCTATTAATCAACACTAAAGCACATGTTAGAAATCAATACATGACCTTCCTTTATCTGCTCTGCTAACTGTTTGTAGTTAATCTGGATATTAATGGTATTACAGGACATGAAGGGCTTTACTTTGAGAAGTCCAGATAAGCTACATGGCCGTGGTAGAAGCCGGGCTTCATCTCTCTCCATGAGGTGACATTCCTGACAAAGCGCACCTGTAGCCAAAGATAATGGAAACTAATTATGGAGCAGCAGGGAAACTCCAGGAAATGAAAAACCACAGCAACAACAACAACAAAAAAAAACAGAACACTGGGACAGGGAAGTGAAAATGGCTCGCTTTGCAGAAGACTTGGACATTTGCATTTCTGCTCAAAAGACACTGGCTTCCCCTTTTCACGTTTTAAAGGCTGCAAAGCTGCAGTGAGTCTTTGCAGACGCCACTGTAAGATCGTTTTAGTGAAGATTAACTGTACGGAAAGCACACTTGCATAAAGAGGCTGTGGCGTTCAGCAGATCACCTCAAAAGGTAGCCAATCAGATTGGAATGACTTATAGACTTCCTGGGTCAATAGCAAAGGTATGGAGGGGGTGTTAGATGTGTTTCAACTTAAAAATAAAAATGAATGAAATGTGATTATTAATGTGATATGAAAGTGGTTGTTGCACTTTCCATAATAATGATAGTATAACCAAAAATGTCTTGTAGAACTACAACATTCATCTCTGTATTTGCAATGCACTAACCCTGAATAAAATCATCTTTAGTGTCCTTGATACAGACCTTCAGGATGTTGCTCAGCTTAGTTTGAATGAATTATGGGAGTTAAATTTAACTTCTTATGACAGGTTGCACTTGGGGTGTGCGATATTACGATATTAGATCATGAACGATGTGCCTTTTCAAAGACATCGTTAGTATTGTGCTACAATGCACAATTTTAGTTAAATTCTGTGGCTACACATGCAGTTAACAGCTGCTCTGTCAACATGGCCTTGTTGCCTGCGTCCTCCGCTGTCTAAAAAGGCAACACTGGAACTTTTGGGCCTCATAAAATTAACATTTAAGTTCCCCACGTCCCTCAGCTCCTCTGTCTCAACTCTCTGTGATTTATGAAGTTTGCTGATAAACAGAAAGTGATACTGACCGCAGCTAATTAGCTGCAGTTATATAGAATTAGCTCAGTAAGCCTAGCGGTCATAGCTAACTCCGCCCGGACTGGGAGCTCGGAGCACCTGGGGAGTGTATTGTGTTTAACTTTACACCTCTACTCAAGCACCGGAGGTTTTCGTGCCAGGATAACGTCAGCGAGCAGTGCTAAATATTTGGTAGGTTTAATAATAGTTTATTTACAGCAGACACTTTTAACACATTCATTGAACCACTACCAGTTACCTTTACTATTTGTCTAATAAACACTTTAGGTTAGAAAAGGTGATCCCCTTCATGTACAAATGACAAACTAAAAAGAACATAGCTACTTGTGATGCGTTTTATTTCCAGTTCATGCTTTTTCAGGCAATTCATCAGAACTTGAATACCATTTGCAGTTTCCTCACTATCTTCATGAAGGTCAAGTAACTTGCACAGCACTCCATTAGCCACCGAAAAATATCTTGTGCACACTGGAAACAGTTTCCCTTGTTTGAGGCGTCAGTGGCAACAGAGTAAAGCACAGGCTCACCTTCAGTCGGGGAGAGATCTTTCAGGGTATCCTGCTCAGTCTTAAACCGTTCATTGTGATCATCTCAGCTTTCGTTCTTACCAAGTGCATCTTCTTCACAACATTTGAGTCATGAAACAATGCACCGTTTAGCTTAAAGACTCAAGACAGTCGGTGTGGTTGTGTTTTGCAGAGACGGAAGTTTTCCAGAACCTTCTGATGATGTTATTAGTATTTATGGCTTTATTTATTTGTGATTCATCCTCACCTTAGTAAAAGACATCAAAGTACGACAGAAGGGATCAATGAAGATCAATAAAAGGACAGGTTGAAGACAAAAACATTGTATTGTATCCTCCTTCACACGTCAAATCTTACATTTCTTTCTCCTCATTTTATCTTCGCTTCTCCTTCTTAATTTAATAGATGACTGTGGGAAGGTAGACTACACAGTAGCAGGATACTAAGAGAAAGAAAATCTAAAATCTGAAGCTATAAAAGGTTAGGTAGGGCAAAAACAGGATTTTGAAAAGTGAGAGGGACATGTGCCTTTAGTCTATAACATAATTTACAGCCTTGGTCAAATCATAGTACTTCAATTTATAAAACGCTTTAACGCTGTAATTCTTACATCAAAATAAGGTGTACAAGTTTCAACAGCTGTATTATGTCTCACGCACGTGTGACTAGAAGTAGTACATGTTTCTTAATCACTTAACTTCAAACAGAACCAATTTCTGAACAGCCTTTTCACAGACCAGCACACCACCTCCACTTCTGTCTTTGACAAACAGTCTGCGGTTTGACAGAGGAAAAATATGACAAAGCCAAGTATATTCGCCAGTTTTGGCTAAGCTAAATGCTATTACTGGATACAAATTTGAATGTTCCTGTTGTAAAATGAGTTGGGCTCATTGATGTGCCAGCAGACTGATCCCTTTACCCTCGTCTCTATTTTATCATGTACAGAGGAAACAGACTGTTGGCGGGATGGTGGGGGGCAGCCTGTTGTGAGATGGCAGACAGGATATTACCTTGGCACTAGCAGCCAAAAATAACACTAGCATAGCTTTGAGGCATTAACACTATGTGGCACTGCCAGCAAAATAAATGCACCCAATGTAAAAGGCTGTGATTCTCTGCAGCTTTTAAAACACAAACTACTAACTAACAATATTCGTATCGTGTACTAAAATATGCTCATGTGAAAGGTGGAGTCAAGTTTCTGTCTAGTAGCTTTTATTGACTGGAGATCTGAATTAATAAGTAAAGTATTTGCAGTTGAAGTAGTTTAAACACTAATATATTCTGACCTTTCATGTTTTAAACGGGATTGTGACAAGGGGTGGGAATCTCCGGGCATCTCACGATTCGATTATGATTCAGAGGGCTGCGATTCGATTATAAAACGATTATCGATGCATCTTGATGCATCATTTTTTTTCTACACAGGGTCCCTGGATAATTACTAAGCATTTAATTTGCGCATTAAAATTCAAGGATGAGAAGAAGAAGGATGTACAGTATGTGTACAGGACAGAGCTGTACACCAGTTTAGTCTAAGCTTCTACCTGATGTTCTCAACACTCGACTAGTAGGTTAGCTAGTAATGACATACAGCTGATAATTACTATTACTTCGTTACTAATTTAGCTAACGTTACATAAAAAAATATTTTTAGCGCCTTTCACGGGACCCAAGGACACTTTACACATAGTTACAGTGACACAAACGCTTTCATACAGAAATCCTGCAATAAACGCAGGAACACCAGCATGCAGGCTGTGGCTTTTCTCCAGACATGTTCCGGCTCCTTAACGTTACTTCATTCAGCGCAGCGAGCTGCATTTCGGCACAATCCCCCGGATTGCTGCTTTCAGTAACTATCTTTACTGTCTGTGTATCTTTCACCGGAGGCTCAGCAATATCAGCACAGCTACATGTATTGGATGATAATGAAACGGGTAGTGAGCTGGGCTGAATATTATCACGAGACTGTGTCACACTTTATAATAATAAGACCGCAGTAAATAAATTTACTGTAGTGTCAGTGGATGGCTCTTCCTCTGGGTTGTATATTATGTGGGTCATGTTAGTTACAGCGACTGAGAGGTGGAGAAGCTGTGTACCTGAGTATTGGTAAAAGGCAATAAATCTAAATTGAACGTTACGAAGCAAACAGTGGCAGCGGCTAATGTAGCGTTAGCTGGATGGTCCTGGCTGCATCACTGTAGGGTAACCTTAGTAAACAAATCGCTCCACATTTGCTTTTTCGCCGTTACATCCTTTCTTGCAGGATAAATCAACATGGGTGGCATTAGTTGGTGAATTGATGTGGAAAGCGATATAACTTTGCACCGGGTAACATTAGCAACTGCTCAGCGTTAGCCGGCGAGCTAACGTGACTTTCTCTGTGTTTCTCCAGCTTTACTAATGCTCACTTTGTTCTCACTCGACATCATCTGAACCTGTTTGGTCTGATGGGCTTCAGCACATAAACCTTTATTGTTGTTTGTATCCTTACGTGGAGCCTGTGTTTTGCTGTGAGACGGTTGTTTTATGGTGTTAGTGGACTGCATGTCGTTAGCGGTCGTTAGCTGCCGTGTTGTCGCTGTAGTCTGAGAGAGGCCAGGGAGCGCGCACAGGGCTGAATCCGACCCGGAGACCTCACATTAAAAGCAGAATAGTGGCTGATGCAAGCAACGGAGAACACAGGCGTGTGCTTCATTTCTAAGTGAGTTTTGAGCCCACTGACAACAAGGCAATGACAATTTGATCGATTAAAATCAAAAACTTAAATATAGCCTCTTTAAATAATAGATTTTTAGACATTTGTTCATCGATTCATAATCTTCCACGTCCACGTCGCGATGTATCTAGGAATAGATTATTTTTCCACCCCTAATTGTGACATCTCTATGATCTTGTTTTAGTCTGCAACCCCGCTCCTACATACAGTATTGGCCGACGGTCTTACCTGGTCTTGTAAAGACATGACGGGATTGTTTTTGGTTGTGTTGATGTGCAGGACGTGGAAGCGGTTCTTCCCACACAGGTCGTAGGCGATGTTAGTGAAGGATGTGCTGGCCGTCTTGGGCACTCTGTTGTAGATGATGACCATGTCATCTTTTTCTGCCAGTGGTGACAATCCCCGACCAGCATCTTCACTCTGACGCTGCTCTACTTCAGCCAACTCGTGTCTGGCAATGGTACGTTCTGTATGAGCAGAAAACATAATATGGATTATTAATGATATACCTTTGAAAAGACTGTCAAATATAGCAAATTTTCATTGCTTGGGGAAAGTTTTTCTAAACTAAAATCAATATAATCCTCAATTTATGTGATTATAGACTGGCTGGCATTCTCTGCTGCCTGGATTTTAATGAGCCAAAAGTTAGTTGATGCTTGTTATTCTCATTTGCCAGCACGCACAGCAGGTGTGAGGCCACCAACACAACAACGAATACAAAAGGTACGTCCGTTATAAAAATGAACAAGTAGTTTTTAAATTAAGGCCGGCGAGGCTTGTTAGCAAGCCTTAATTAAGGAAAACAACATAGACCTTCAAAACACAATAACATCGAAACAAGTAATTAAGCTTTTGCTGATAATATTGACAGGAGGCATAATTAAAAGTGTTTTCTCCCACTTCTTTTCTCCACTGCAATGTTAATTAAAGGCAATTACAGGAATGGCCTTGTGAGTATCTCTTGGACCGGCAGTGTGTCGCTCAATGTAATGGAGGCATCCTGCTGCCTGGGCAGCCCTTCAGTGTCTGACACCATGAGGAGAGAGATACCATGTGTCTGCAGCGTGTTTGTTAGTCCGCATTTGAAGGCAGATGGATGCTCTCTTGGCCCTTGTAATTTTCCTCTTCTTAAAGGCATTATACAGTAAATGTGCAGGCGGTGAGTTGCTGCTAACTATTTTCTGATTACAAATCTCTACAAGTACAATTCAGTGCATAGTGCAATTTTGACTCATCAGTCTAGAGCACCAGCTGCTATTTTTCTGCACCCACGTTCCTGTGTTTCTGTGCATAGTAAAGCTTTTTGACCACAAGTCTTCCATGAAAGCCACTTCCAACCAGACTTCTCTAGACAGTAGATGGGTATACCAGAGTCCCACTGTTTTCTTCAGCTCTGAGCTGATGGCAGTAGTGGACATCTTCTCACTGCGAAGGGAAGTAAACATGATGTCTTTCATCTGCTGCAGTAATATTCTTCGGTCGACCACCTACGGTCCTCAGTGTTGCTCGTTTCTTTGTGCTTCTTCAAAAGAGCTTGGACAGCACATCTGGAAACCCCTGTCTGCCTTGAAATGTCTGCCTGGGAGAGACCTTACTGATTCGGTGTAACTACCATGGTCTTGTTGCTGTGCTCTGTCTTGCCATGGTGTCTGACTTCTGAGAGTAAACTGTCTTCAGCAACCACACCTTGTTAGCTGAGTTTAGCTGTTCCTCACCCAGCTGTATTCCTCCTACACAGCTCTTTCTGTTTCAGGTAATGATGGTGTTTCAACCTACATATGAATTGAATTGGTGATCATTAGCACCTGTTTGGTATGATTGTTGAATCATACATCGGACAATATGCCTACAAAATGCCTGACTTTGTGCAAGTATACCTAGAAGAATTGATACTGTTTTGAAGACAAAGCGTGGTCACGCTAAATATTAGGGCTGGACAATTAATTGACAAGTAATCAAAACCAAAATTCAGAGCCTCTAACCGACATAATTTCCCCATGTTGGTTATTTTGGTTATTTAATCCGGGTAATATTGTGTGTGTGTGTGCTCATGTACTTTCCCCTTGAAACAATGCTTGTGTAATAACGTGAATCTGCCTTGTCCAGTCCTGCTCAGCCTTCAGACCAGAGTCTGAAGCACAGGGAGATGTTAGTTAGCGCCAACCGTCTTCTCTTTCCAGCAATTGTGGAAACAACAGACACAGGACTTTGTACAGATGTCCAGTTTCATCGTAGTATCTCAGAAACGTAGGAAGTCTCTACGGAGCCTGTCAGTATTGAAAGCAACAGAGTTTAAAGCACGGTGAAATTTTGCACCGAAGAAAGCATCTGTTTTGCGCTGCTGGAGTTTGGTTCGAAGGCTGTTCATCAGCGAATGCACTTCAACTGAGGTGAGACTCACTATGCACACTCAACACAGCGTCAGAGAACATCTTCAGAGTGTTTTGCAAGAAAAAGAGAATGACCTCGAGCTTGCTACATTCTTCCCCTTCTTCACCATGTTCACCACTTGTGAGCACATCCCAGATGACTCGGGGACATTCCTCGCGTCCCAGCGTCAAAAAAGTAGCTCTGCACAGCTGGCCAGGTGTTAACGAGTCTGTTTATCGCTGGAAGCAAGACTCAACCAACGGTCGGGAAATGTCGCAACAAGGTAAGGTACTCCATATCAACAAATTCAAACATTTCCTTGAGTGTGGCAACTCCCTTGGCAGAGCAGCTGAAATTACTGAATGACTCCATCACTACAGTCTCCGCATCTATTTCCAGTACACTGCTGGTACGTTTTACTGCATTGGGGACTATGTGGGCAGGGCAGTTAGCGTGCAGGATCTTGCTGTTGTGTTGTTTTAGGTTTCGGTAAACGGAGTGCCTTTTGCCATAATTCACAGGCGCGTTGTCAGCCGAGAAAGCCAAGAAATTGTGAATGCTTAGTTTGTGTTCTGTTAGCTTCTGCAGCAGGGTGTCTGACTGCATCTGCGCTCTCGGCTGCCTGGTCAAAGAAATCTAGGACTCTGCTTTGGATACCCTGCTCGGGGGTCCAGAATCTTACAGAGATGGGGAATGTTTCAACATTGCCTTTATTAAAGGCATCAGTTGCAAGGGAAAAGTATGTGCCATCTGACTGAAGGGTTTGGGCGAATTCAGAAGCAAGGGGTTCCAGTACACTAGTGACGAGAGCTTTTGCTCTAGCCATGTCCGAATCAGAGTACAGTTGTGATGTCAACTTCATAGCACAATCAAGCGAACTGCATGACGGCCAGTTGCACCACTGGCATTGTGTTGCTTGCTGCTAGCATGCAGTTTGACATCTGCCTCCCCCCGTGCTAAATGCTAAATTCTTTCCTGCAGACTTTGCAAATCACTTAGATCTCATAAGGTTTCAGTGATCTACGTGCATTTCCATCCCCATTCCTCCCAGTACTTGCAGTAACGTTTTTGCTTTTTCGCTGGATGTTGACCTCTCCCCGGGACACTCGGCTCCATGTCAGCGAATCATTTGATGAATGGATTGTTTTGATTTTCCCTCCGTAAATGTATAATTCAGCATCAAGTAGTTTATCAATTTGCGACACACAACTGTACATGGCAAAACAAAACAGCCATAATTCGTGTAACCTACGGATTTACATTTAAGTCACACAGTGCCCATCTGTGGGCAACACCAAATGAATGTTTTCACAATTTAATTTTTCAATAGGATTTGGGACATCTGCTCGTAAATTTTAAAAAACCCATGTTGCAGATGTTAGCTAGTGCCTTCACTTTTCCAGCAGTTGGTTAAACAACAGACTTTTAGTAATGGTCACACTGTGACTGACAACTTACTAAGTAACTTAAATATTTTCCACCGCTTACTTTCTGCAGCTCTCTCTCTCTCTCAATTGCTTGTCCACTCACTCGTCAGACACACACACGGAGTCAGCCTAGCGGTAAGTGTTACCCCCTGTATAAATGTAAATTTTTTTCTCCCACCCCTAGTAGGTAACACCAACACATGGAAGATGGCAAGACAAAGTGCAGCTGCAGCTCCTCCTTGACTCATCGAAAAGAAAACTGTAATTCTGTATGGAAGTACTTTGTTTTAAACGAGGATGACAATAAAGCCACTAAAACACTAGTGGTGTTGTGGTGTATATATCTCCGTTTCTTCTCCACTGTTTTGAGTTTAGCCACTGTTGTTGGTGTAGGCAGTAGCGTAATGTAGTAACAATGGGCCCCAATGCAGGCTGTTATGATGGGCCCTTTGGCTCCAGTTCCCTTTATGTGATTCTCTCCAACACAGACACGCGCTGCTGCTCTGCTGTAGTACAAATTACAGAAGTCCAAGAGAAAGTTATAAGGAGCATGGCCAAAATCTTGAAACGTCATTACAAACAGCTGGGGAGGTGTCCACTGTGCTGAAATGATGCAGACTTTTTCAGGCATTTTCAAAATATCCTCTTTTAGACAAAGAGGCAAGACGTCATGGTAAATAAGAAAGAAAAGCAGCCTACTTAAAAACAACATCACTACTGACTGACACCGTGGCAAAGGGGGATACATTTTAAAAAAATCAGATTTGTTATAAATTATAGAATACTAAACTAATGAACATTAAATTAAATAGTGTATCTATTGTGGGGCCAGTGAAACAGAAACTATAGAAATACCAATATAGTACTACAACTAAAAATTATAATAATATATCATCTCTCATGTCATTGCTATCATAATAATAATAAACAGGGTTCTCCTGCATAGGCAAATAATTTTATATATATATATTTTGTCAGCAATAGTTATAATCTGCCATGGTGACTACTTTCTACATCTAGTTTAATCACCAGCACTCTGTTTATTCTATCCAATGCTATTTCCTAACTACCATCTTGCTCTGACACAGAGGAAAGGCTGCCCTATAATTATCTAATACTACATGACTGTCCTCAACAGGACCTGCAACTGTGTGTTAGATACATGTCCAGCTCACGTTTATTCACATGTCCCCTCTGGTTTAATCATTTCTGACGCTGACTGTAATGAGAGACACTACAGTTTAATCGCTCATTAATCTCACCCTACTCCACTGATAAACACATCGCATTAGCTTTGTGGCTAATTTAGCAACAGGCAGCGTTATCTGCTGTTGGCGATGTTAGAAAATATTAAGAAATAAATTAGAGAGAAATGAGAGGACCGTTTGCTAGAACTGCCAAACTGTTTCAGAAATAAATCTACAATCACGTCTGTCAGCGGCGTAGCCTCCTCCGTAAAAAGACAGAGGCTATGCCGAAATCCCCTCTCATTCACTACTCCCTACCCCCTCGGTCACTACTTTTCAAAATGCATTCTGGGATACATTGAGTGGACTATATAGGGTATAATAATTATCACTATACATTCGGACAGCACTACAAAACGGCGTGGGTGATTTCGGACACAGCTCGAGTTTTCCAACGCGGCACTTCTCCTGCTCTGCGGAGAAGACAAGAGGTGGCAGGCACAAATCAGCAGATTTTTGGACTTAAAACCATGGACTGTAAATAAAAAATTTTTTTTGAGGATTGCGTGCTGCCCCCGATACCCTGGTGTTCAACAGTCTTAAAACTAAATGTACTCACCAAAGAAAGTGAACAGCCAGCTCCTAATAAAGTTTTTCAATGGCGCTGGTTAAACTTACACAGTGATGTGGGCTCGACCCACTCTAGACTGACTGACAGGTTGCCATGGTAACAACTTGTCAATCACAGATACTCCCGCCCTGAACCATACTCTGCTTTATGGTCTATATTTCTTTAAAAGGTTTTATTGAAGAAGACTTGAAACAAACGATTGACCATAAACTTCTTATGAAAGTGTTTAGTGACTTACTAAGAGTCATGGTTCTAAAACACGCTACCTTTGGTGTGACTATGATCATAATATGGGTTACTATTTATGGCGGAAGGAGGGCCATGTATTTCCCCCTGTCATTCAGGGAGGCTCAAGGATATTTGTAGCTTCGGGGCTCTGGGGTACATTAAATAATAGACAGTCCCTAAAAGAAATAAAAATGAGGAGTCGTAGACAAAAGCATATAAAACTAAGAAAACTATGTTTGCTAAAACTGAAAATGAACGTAATGCAGTGTGCGATAACTGTTTTCAAGCAATTTCTTCATTATGCTCCAGGATAAATGTATCTGTGCCAAATTTCTCGGCTGGAATATTCGAAAGACTCAAGGAGCACTTTGCATTAAAATAATAATAGTGCAATAATCTATGCTTACAAAGTGAACCACCTTTGTTTTGGTCTTACCGAGTTTGGCTCTAGACTCCTCCAGTATCTGGATCTGGTTCTCAATAAACAGCATCGCCACTCCAAATGCCAAAACAGCCACAAGCTGCAACTTGTGCGGCATCATGGTCCTTAAAAGCCCCATCAAACAACCAGATGAACCCTGGACAGACCCACTCCTAATGGCTGACGTTAATCCAGCAAATGAACTAACGTTCTCACTAGCATCTGCTGCTGACTAACTCATCTAAACTGATTCACTTCAGGCAAACCAAAATAAATTTCGCTCGCGTTAACTGTCTAGCGCCATTAAGTTAGTTGGTACTCGACTGCAGTCCTACACGGTTAACTCAACGTTAGCCAAACAAACTAACATTAGCTATCTTCTGCGCTTACTCTCATAAAGCCACGTAAAGCTCATGCTAACGGCAGCTTTCGGAATACGTAACGCTAGTCAGTCCGCATTTTGAAGTCGGGCATGCTTTGATTTAAGCCGCCGACAGCATGCAGAGTCCGTCGAGCTCCGTCCATTTAAAATGCGACTTGAGGCTGGAGGAAAACAAATGGTCAAAAGCGACTCCAAACTACAGAGCAGAGTTCCACAGCAGCGCGCACAAGCGTGTTGCAGCAAGCAGCATCACTGGACAGTAGCTGCTGCTTCTTCTGTGTGTTTACTGGAGGATCACAAATTGCGCCACCTACTGGACCGGAGTGTGTGCGATGGCACTAAATGGTTTAAAAGATGAACAAATATGAAACACAGGTCTAAACCTTAGGTCTTTCCTAATTCTCTTTCTGTCACCTGCTCTCAGTGTTTTTAAACTCCATACCTGCCCTGCCTCATTAATCTCATCTCTGCATCTCCAAATGTACACGCTCGATCTCTTCCAGTACATCACACCACTGGCACAGATTTCAAGGCTCTTTCCAGTTAAATACAGTGTGGCGTGAAAGGTGCCCAAGCCTTAAATAGGTATGTGTGTGGAAGACATTCAGGTGGAAAGTCTGTGGTGGTCAGCAGGGATGAAACAGGATCAATTACAAATGTAACTGTGGTTCTTGGAGTTTCAGATGACAGACAAAAGTTTGCTTACCTATTTGCTAAATCTGTGTGAGAAGGAAACATTACCTGGCCATACAGGATTTTTTTGCCACATTTCCACCAAAAGTACCCAGGAATCCCAGGATCTACTTTTCAAAGAACTAAAAGGTTCCTTCAGCCCATTGTTGTGTGTTTCCACCGCGGTCTGAAGACCTGCGAAGATTAGGCAAATTGACCAGTTTACAGCATTCTGTATGTTATTACTCTGACGTAGGCCGTACAAAGCGAGAGACAGGCATCATTATTTCCATGAGCAAAATGTATATATGAACATCATATTTGATTGGAATATAATAAAAACATTATGCTTGACCACTAAAAATTGCTTTTTTATTCTATGTGCCATAAGTCACCCAGGTCACATGTGACATCGTTAGATACTCAGTCAGTGATAAACGAAATCAGGCTCAGGTGATACGGAAGCAAATATATAAAAGTTTAGATAAAGCAATGTGAATTTGATTTTCAACAAACACATGACAGAAATTATATTGATAATAATGTTTGAGGAACATGAGTTAGCTTCTCTGACCGCATGGTTGGGTCATTCATATTATAATAGAGCAGCTGATCCAAACCTCATACATCTGCAGCACAGCACAGACCAGTAACAGGAAGAAGAAAAGCCTGACCTCTACTATCTACCCTGCTGATTACAGGTATGTTATTCTCAAATAAATTAGTTTCCTCATCCACTGTGAAAGGGGAAGAGTCTTGAGAGATCTAACAATATTATCAGAAAAATGGGGACATATCAGGCAACCGGGTATGTTCTCTTCTTAGTTTCAGATGTTGACAGTTTCTGCTTTGTGAACACAACTAGGTCAAACAGTACAAGAGGTCCCGGGATGTGAGGCTTAAACCTACAGGATGATGTTGGAAGTAGAAATGGTACTGCACAGATACCAGTCGGAACAGGTCGCTCTCTGGCCATGCATGCATGAGCTCTAAAGCCCAATGAGTATGGGGAATACTTCCTGTTATAGCTTAAAATCTCCCATCAAGTGGTCCATTATGCATTTACTCATGGTTTTCACTTGACTTCCCAGCAGCACTTTTAACTCCAGCTTTGCCTCACACCTGTAGTGTCGACTTCCTGTGTAATAATAAAGACATGGGATAGTGAGAACAATGGGGGAATACCCTGTGTGCAGTTGGTCCCAGATTAACTGTTATTGGATGTAATTAAAAAATATATTTCCTATTAAACCAAATGTTTTACTTTTAAATGAAGACTAATCAGTTATTTTTATTTGAATTTCCAAAGAGAATTCAGGGCAGGAGTAAGAGGAAAACTTGGTTTGTCATATACATATGTATATGTATAGAAGGTATGGATGGCTACATGAGTATGTACAGTGGTGGAATGTAATAAAGTACATTTAATCAAGTCCTGTAATTAAATAAAAAGTTGAAGTATTAGTAGTTTACTCAAGTAGTCCCATTTCATGACCCTTTATACTTCTACTCTACATTTTGGAGAGAAATATTTAATAAACATTTATCTGCCAGCTATAGTCACTATAAGTTACTTTACAAATTAAAGGGGCAATATGTAGTTTTTTTTTAATGAAATGAAACACTTTTTTATTGCCTGTGTGAGAAGGGGTTGTAACCTCACATAAAACAATCCACTTGTCAAGTTTTCTTTTACCTCTGACGTTCAGGATGCCTAATCATAAGTAAAGACTCCGGGTTGGATTTTCCAATTTTCCAACACCGCAGCAACAACATGGAGTCCGCTAAGAACATAAAACGACCAGCTCAACCACAAAGTTTTATGTGATGGAGCCCTTTAGGCCAAACAAGTATCAGACTTTGGGTGAAAACATGGTCAACATCAGAAAGGCTAGAGTCAAGTCAAGTCAGTTTTATTTATATAGCACATTTAAAAACAACAGGAGTTGACCTAAAGTGATTTCCAAGAACACAATACACACAAATACAAGTACAAACAAACAAAAGAACAAAGAGTATATACCGTTGTGTATCCAAATACACAACACTAGTACACCAATACATATCAATAAAAGGAATATGGAGTACTCTGTATAAATGAAATTCAAAGAAGTCAAAAGTAAATAAATAATAGTAATAAACTAATAATATAGTTTAGGTTTATTTCACAACAGTCTCATCTTTGTCAGTGATGATGCATGGAAATTGTGTGGAATCATTATTAGCCAGTGCAGACCAGAAATCTAAAGTTCCTTCAGTCTACGGTTGAGTGGGGATTTGAAAAGTGATCCTCAACTGTACTGTAACAATGTTGCCTGGCGGACGTCAGACTCGTTTTCCTAAATGTCATGGGTTGGCTGAGTGAAGGCTGAGGTGTGGACATAACATAACACTAAAAACCTGCAGACTTGAAGGGAAAATATACTTGGGCTGTTTGAAAGGTCAAGACTGACTATTGCACCACCACCACCACCACTTCTCTTGTTTTTTTGTCCACATACCTTATACGTTTTGAATTATGATGACACTGTACTTCTTTCTCCTGCTATGCTCTTTAACGTGTGTCTTGTCACTGAAGAGATTATCGTGGCTAAGCTTGACGTGGCGTGTCCTAGCCTCCACCCACAGCTGCCCAGCTCCATTGTTTCACCTCTTATACCTTCAGGGCCTGTTCTGCCTGGCCCGGAACACAGCTGTTGTCTAAGCTCGAATAATTTTCCATCAACAACACCTACGACTGTAGCTCCACTTTTATCCTGTGTCACTTTAACTTGTCCCTTGCTGCTGCTAAGATCTGATACTGTGGTACTGGAGATAGTGTAGGAACTGAGAGAGATTGAGGCAAAGTTAATGCACTAAACAACAACAGCTCTTTATCGTTTTATCTGTTGCATAACTGACATATACTCCAACAACAAAACAAACTGGCTTTTTTTTACTTTCTGAGACAATATGTGCTGGTAGCAGCTATATGATTATTTTAAAATTGCGCACAGAATTTGAAACCTTTTAAGTAATTTGCCAGAAAAAGGAAGGAATGGAAGAAAAAGTCCAGTAAATTCAAGTAGTGAGAGCACTCACTTACTTCTTACATTTATTCTTTTTATTAAACCATTACCAAGAGTCCACAGACAATGCATCAAAATCTAACTCTGGGGAAATTATTTCATACTATCAGCCAGTGATTCAGTGCAAGGTCCTCCTCATTTTGACTTAACTGCTAGTAATATCTGAGAACATTTTAAGATTACAGCTAATTTACAGGTCTACCAACATTTTTCATGTACATTTCAGGATAATTATCTCGTCAGTTATATAAGGCTTATGTGGTAAGTGGTGGTGAATGTCAGGCTCCCAAGTTTAGGCAAGTATATTACAATAACAAATGTACCTAAATGTATTGTATTGAAGTACAAAGGTGGTTTTAGTTTTGCTCTGATATCTCAAGGATGTGGAGAAGATTGACACAAAGTCAAAGTGGGCGATCAGTAAAAATGAGCATAGTGAAAAGGTGAAGAAGGGTATTGGAGATCTGATCATCTCAGGAGTTACGCTGAATATGCTGCATTAACCCTAAATCACAGAATCATGTCATGTCCCATGCCACTAAAAGAACGGTGATGCTTTTCTCAGCCAATAGGTGGTGCCAGAGTTCCAAGGATGAGAATGTATTACACGGTCCAACCTTACCAAAATCAAGAAAACATGAAAAGGAGACTTTTTTTCATTTGAGCAGTGGAACTAAAAGTCTGCAGCAAACCCAGTTTCATAGAATCTCCATGTGTGTGTAACAGTCTGGGAGATCAAGAACAGTTAAAAGCGTTAAAAGTGTTCCTTCTGGAAACATGTTGATTGTTTCATCAACACTCAAATGACAGGAGCCACCAATGTAAGCTACATTTATTTGTGAGATTTGAAAGTCACATTTAAACTTTTTTGGTATTTTCTTTCTGTACTATTTTAGTTTTAAGTTAATACCTGACAAACTGTGTGACAAAAGAGACATACAAGTATAAATAGATTTACTTAATAACAGGTTTAGGTTTAAGAAACATTACAGATTGATTTAGATGATTTAGAGATTTAAGAGTCCTTCATCATTTAAATCCTCTTGTTGGCTAAATTTAAGTCTGGACATCCATAACAGGACATGTAGATCCAATTAAACACTTCTATCAGATCGTCCACAATCTGCAGTCCTTTAGAAAATATCTAAAGGACTGTTCTTTGCAGCGGACAATCCCAAGAATTTCCCATCTGCCCTCACAATAACTCAATCCATGAGCCAGACAGGAGATATTAGAGTGTATTCACTGCAGGCCAAGCCAGGCCTCTTGTAACATGGAGGAGTCTAAGCAGAAAAGGAGCTTAAAAAAGGTTTGTCACATTGTCTTACTGCAGAGCCATTACTTTGCTAAAATTTAATTAAAACAATAACTGCCTCACTTTCAATGTGATTAAATGTTACCACCTACTTATTGCTTTCATTAGTTGTATCATCAAGAAATGTGATTTCATGCAAATCATCTAAACCCTTTTCTGCCCGTTCCCTGGGAAATAAAGACGTGTCCCAGAGGAGTACGGAGGAGAAACTGCGTTGGTTTGCGGTATCAAAGACCAGTCCAGATACATGCAGAGCACAGCGTCTGACCAATGAATAAAGCTTGCATCAAAGGGGAACCATTTACTTTATTCGATTACCCTGAAACAATGTTACAATTATTATATTCATCATATGGTGCTTGAGGGTTAGAGATAACAGGTAACTACCACGGATAAACTGATGACCTCTGCATTGTCTATTGATAACACTAATAGGATAAACAACAACACAACAATCAATATGGTTATTTGTTTTAGATGTTTTGATCTTCTCATTTATGACAGAATAAGCACAAATGAAATGAACTTTTTCTGGTGAACAGTGGATATGATTTTATTTGGAAACGTTTCCATTTTACTAAACAAAAATTACATTCTGAAACATACAGTGCATGTCTGTCTTTCCAAAGTTTCTTTTAGAGGTGTAACTCTTTACATATGTAATCCCACCTATAACAACATATGACATAATACACATTACATATTCTCATTATGAAGGCAGAAATCAGGATTGGGTTGCAGGTGCTCATAAATTCATAAATACATTACTAATTTAGTGTGTTAAGTCCTTCCAAAAGTTCTTAGGAACAAATAGCGAGATTCAAACTTTAGTAAATTAGGTTGCACCATTCAAACAAACAAAAAACTGTTTTAGTTATTAAAGACTATATTCATGTGTAAATCAAGTACTCTGTCTTGCTGTCCAGTCAAAAACAATAATCCATGTAAAGAATAACTGAAACATTGCAAGCTGTATCAGAACTGATAAAAATACCAGTTTTAGGGGCCCAAGCGCACATTAAAATTACCAGTCAATCTTTGTTGATATAGGTGTGACTTTTTTATATATATATATATACATACAGTACAGGTGAAAACACAAAGAGAAATATGCTTGAAACTGATTAAGCTAACCTAACCAACATTATTTTGAAATTTAGACTAACATGTTTTGTGATTTGAGCTACACTGGGTTACATTTTGTGTAATTTCATTAAAGTTTACATCATTATTGGACAGCATTGTGATCAAGCGTCAGGTAATATGTTGACCATATTACCTCTTTTCCTCTCCAGTTTAAACAAGTCATGAATTAGCAAACTAAAGTTACTTTTGTTGTTGGTTAAATTAGCTACACAACAGATACACCTGGTTTTTAATATTTAGTAACAACTAATAACTAGATGAGAAATGTTTTTTGTATTGCGACCGGGCAGGTCCCTTTTTAATTTAGTGGTGTATAAATCTCCACAAATCTCTCTCCTCCTTAGTTAACACCTATGTTATAACTAGGAACGTTCAGTGTAAACAGCTAGTGGAACTGCCTCCAGGTTTCTAATTCATCTGTCATCTCTACTTTATCATCTTATTACATGTTGTGGTGATAAAATTTAAACTGGACAAAATTAGAATCCCACGTCTTTATTTGACGCAGAAACTGACACAGTAAGAATTACAAAACAGCATTTGAAAATAAGGATTATGTGATGTTATTAAAAAATTATAAAAACAAAATACCATAAATGTTTAGCAGTTCTGCGAAATTAAAGTAGAGAGAAAAACCACCACTCTTCCCATAAATGTAGGCCAAAAACAAGTGAAAAACTCATCACTTCATCACAGTGCAGCAGAGTATAAAAGAGAGATATTTGTAGGAGTGAAATTATTCTACACATAGTCAAATCTCTGGTTCGACTGCCTTCCCTCCATACTCTGGGCTTTGTAGGAGTCATTGTAGGTGGTACGGGGTCTGGTGTCAGTCTTGTAGACAGTGTGCTGAGAGCCAACTTTGTAGGCCATCCCGTCGTACCTGAAGAATATCAGAAAATAATCAACTTTTATTTAATGACAGAAAAGGCATAAAGAGTCTAGTTTGAAGTGGTTTGAGGTGCTAGAGTGAATTATAACATCCAGACTCACACTGGCTCCACCCTCCTGATCCCTCTCTAGATGTTCCACTACTCATGTGAATAGTGAAATAGTCAGAAACAATATGATTAAAAACATACACAAGGACCAGAAGAATGTAAATACTTCTGTGTATCATTTTGCAAGCAGCCTCGTAAGCATTTGCAAATCTGCATTATAAATGCAAAGAGGAAAAAAAACACACCAAAGGGCTTGCATTTACATTTCGCTGAGTATGTGTCCTTAAATTTCTAAAGAACTAAGATTTTTACTGCCTCACAGCATAAATATATATATATATATCCAGGGGTGTTTATATTGTTGTTCAGCTTGTCAGAAGCCAAGATTTCTGTCTTTCATGCTTTCAATTTACCGCAGTGAACACACAATCTGCACTAGTATTTTGCATATAGCGCCTGCTTACTAGACATTTTAGCTGGATCTATTTAGCAGTTTTCTCATCTCTGTTACTTTGGCCTACAGGAGAGAAGTTCTGCCAAGTTTGCTGCCATCCCCAACCCCATCCAGTTAAAGTCAGAATAAATTTGTCAAAAAAGGTCACAGATCAGTTGGTGCCTCATACCGTTGTTGTCTGTCGTCAGTCATTCCACGGCAGGCCATACACATCAGGATGCCTCCAATGAACAAGATCGCTCCGCCAATCCAGCCAACGAAAAGAGCGGGGCCAAAAGTGTACCTGAAAGAAGACAATGATTACAGGAAAACATAACAAAGTGCCATGGCAGATAAAACCCCATCTAAATTTGACTTTACCTTGGAGTGAGAGTTCCTGTGAGTCCACCCATGCCCCCTCCTCCTCCAAACATGCTGAACCCACCATCGGTAAATGTTGTGAACCGAAAATCTTGCACTATCATGTTAGCAAAGGTCGACACCCCAGCAATGCCACAGACACCTAAACATGAGGAAACAATGTATTTAGTGCAAAATGGTTTAGCTGTAATAAAAGAGGTAGACACTGTGAACAAAGCGTTACTGCACCTGCAAGAATAAACATGACCCCAGCTGTCAGAGTCATTGTGGCTTTGATGTTGTCCTCCATGTTCCCCATTTTCAAGCACTTCAGAGCAAATATTCCAATCAGGCAGCCGATGGCTCCGAGAACAATACCAACAATCATCAAGGCCCGGACGGCTTGGAGCAGAACTAAAAGTCAAAGGTACAACATTTCGTCTCATCACTGTCAATGTAGAATATAACATAAGTACATTTACTAAAGTACTATACTTTGGGACAATTTGACATTTTCCTGGAGTATTTTTTTGTCTACTTTGTGCTTCCACTCACTTCAGAGGGATTTTTACTCTGCTACATTCATTTGACAGCTTTGGTTACTATTTTCTCTGCCGGTTAAGATGTTACGTACAAAATTTATGATCTACAAATAAACAAACCCAACAGGATAGAAAGGTCGTTAAAATGAACTCCATATGACCAGCAGCAACATAAGATTCTGCTTAAATACTGATGCATCACTAATTATAATGCTTATTAATATAACACAATGCTTCTCATGCTAATTATTCTGATAATTCTGTACTTGAATGTAACTCCAACTTGAGTATTATATTAGTATTAATACAATGTATTATAAATCACACATTACAAATTATTTCTAATCATAAACATTTTTGTTAACACAATGAAAGATACACCACCAGCAGCAATAAACAAGATATATCCCCATTTTAAACGTTTTAAGCATATCATCTCTGATATTAATGCAAAACTCATAACTGAGTTATTAATGTCACGTAGTTTGTCTAGCACCATTTCATACAAAATCAGTTCAGTGTTTTACAGGATAATAAAGCAAAGAAAGGAGAATAGAACATGTCCGTGCATACACAGACCTACATACATAACTCCTCACACATATATGTTCACAATTAAACTCATAAATCAAGGCTCCGTGTAATAAAACATACTGACCTAAATGCCATATTTCAATGGCCTGAGATATTGTACCTGTATTATTCTAGGCTTAAGCCTTTAAGATCTTATGTACAATATGCTCTACACTACATTCAGCTGTTAAGTACAGAGTGTGGAAATGTACTTTACATTGTGTGACACTCCGGTAAAGCTTGTGCTTGCTCAGCTAAGCTTTGGATGTCTCATCAAATTTCCATTTGATTCCGGAGAGACACCATCTTTTCTGCAGTCGCCTGCATTTTTATGCAGGGTGGAAATGGAGAAAATCTGCCCTAAAACCTCCCAAATATTCTAAAGTACCTTCCAAGGTCCTTTGGAAAATGTTCTCCATAATCCAGCATGTGGAGAAATATTGGATACACGTCTTTTTCTCTCTAAGTGTAATTCTCTTACCTGGCAGTCCTAGTATGGTAAAATAAGGCCTGCACTGTGTTGTACCGGATTCTGTCCCCACACACGATTTCCATAATCCAGAATAGGTGTAAACACTTATTACAACTGTAAAAGATCGGTCCTGTAAACTCCACATGTCCATTGCTGTTGCAGCTGATATTAAGAATTGTCCCAACCCGGACAACATGAATCCTATTAACTGAATCATTGAGGCAGCCATTTTAGATGTCCCGCTCAAACAAAGCTACCACCAATGTCAGGGAGTCGTGAAATGGCAGCGTCTGAGCTCCTGCTTATCATTATATGTGCTTCAACAAGGAACAGGTCTTATCAGATGTTTACCTAAAATTCTCATGAGTCTCAGTTCCCAGTTTCGGGAAACAATGGCAATGAGAATTTCCACCCCTTAAGGGTGTGCTGTGACCTTTCATCATCATTTTTTCATCATTCTAAGGAAATACAGAACTGAAATGTTTTGATGTATTTTACCACTTTTTTTTTTACTAATGAGAACTAGATTGATTTCCACCGATAATAAACTAATATTCCAGTTCCAACAAATAAATAACAGCGTAATAGAACATAAAAATGTCATATGACACATTGGCCTGTTTGCTTTAGATTCTTAGACTCGGTACATTTGACAATATTAAATGATATTGTAATTTTTCTGCTTTCAACCAACAAATTATAATTTGAAAAAACATGTATTTTTCACCCATGTTGCTTCTGTGTTGCTACTGACAAATAAAAGCATACCTGGCAGTCCCAGAATGGTGAAATATGGTCGGCACTCCGTGAAGCCAGAGCTCTGCCGGACACATGACCTCCACAGGCCCACATACGAGAATACGGCCGTCACAGGGTTGTCAAAGAGGTCTTCTGTCGACCACTGGTCCATCCCCGTCGCTGCAATTATTCCCGCCAACCCTAAAAAACTCAGGAGGAGGCCCATTACCTGACAGAGAGTGGCTGCCATGGCGCTGTCTTTTCTCAAACACTCTGGATTCAATAGCTAACAGCCTCTCCTCAGCACTGCGGCGTTGTGTTTGAATATGATATCGGCAGGTGTGAACTAAAGAAGGACTTCACCAATGACCCTGCCTGTTTGACCACAGTCCAGCCATATACAGATGGAGCTGGGTGGAGCATATTAGTATAAATAAAATATGATGAAAGCTTAGTAATTCTGGTTGGTAAAGAATAAACATGATGTGGTTCTCTAACTGATAAAGATCAGGAGTCACTTAATAGCGTCAAGAATCAAAACTTCAGCCTGACCATCACATGAATCTGGACTGGGTTTTAATGACTGCTACAATAACTATACAGCTGCTGCTGATGTGTACTGTTGGAAGATTTATATAAAAATGTCAGAGATTACTAAAGTTACAGGTTGAAAACTTGTTTTCTATGAGTGATGGGGTTCGACATGACTCGCACAATTTTCTCCCAAAGTTACATCAACTTTGGTTATTTCATATGAGGTACTTGTGTATTTGTTTTACTGCCCGTGTTCTTGTCATTATTTTGAATCAGCTGGAAACACAAGGTGTCACGTACTTCTGTGCACCAGTCAGGCTTATGTTTGTGTTGCCTTGCTGCTGTCAGTCAAATCTGATTGAACCACACCAACACAGTACTGATGACACGGTTAACTAGCTGAGTTTTTGAGTGTAAAACTCTTAAGGAAGTAGTTAGTTTGACATTTTGGTAAAAGTCTGGTACACCCAGCAGTTGTTTAGCTTAGCATAAAGGCTGTAAACGTGGCGAGCCAGGTTCCGTTCAAATGTGACAAAATCCTTGTACATAAGGCTAAGGTGACTATACTATGGTTTTCAAAAAAAGAGGACAGTGAGGGCAAGAGGCAGACGGACACCCGCAGTGAGCTGAAGGCACCTTTGATTGTTTATAGTAGGCCTATTTGTAACATTTGAACAGCTTATTAATATTCAACAATTCCCCTCATTCACAAATAAAACCGTTTTCTGATTAGGGCTAATATAGTGGAATCATTATAATTTCAAATAATGGTATCATAGATAGCTTAACACTAGTACAATATAAACTACAGTTAGAGCAGTTTCATACATTGTTCTCATTTATTAAATCCTTGTGCAAGAAAAATGGTCTGCATGGTGGTTAGTCTCTGATTTGTTAATGCTAAGTGCTAACTTGTTTATAATCATAACCATGCAAGCATTTCGAAAGTTTGCTGTAGCACCGCGTCAACCTTTTTTTAATGTCCCACCCCATCCAGGCTGCGACTGGTCGGACCATGAAAAGTGACACTGTTGAGCAACTTCGTGTACACGTGCATACTGGCAGCTTGTGAGAAGTATGCAAGAAAACGTCCCGGTACGCTAAAGAGTAAAATGTAATAGTGCCGGGCGATATAGCAATCCCAGCTGGACACATTTTTTAGGTCCCAAAAAGAGGACATGTCCAGGAAAAAGAGGACGTATGGTCACCCTTTTAAAAGCTCACTAGTTAACATGCATCTTATTTGGCTAATCCCAACATAAAATAAAGTGTAGAAACGACAATTCACTGTTTTATGGCGGGTTATGTGCCATTCAGCTATTTCTTGTCAGGGACCTGGCTATTTCTCAAAACAAATGAGATATAACATATATGTGAGCTTTAGAGGTGCTGGTAGGCGTATTTTGTTGGCTGCATACAGTAGCTGTTTCCCTGTTTCCAGTCTTTGTGCTATGCTAGCTGCTGGTTGTAGCCTTATATTTATTAATATTTTCATCTAACTAACCACCAGAAAGTGAATAATATTATAAATAAGTGTATAAAGAGTGTTTTTGCTTTATCTTTATCTTTGACTGTTTCCTATTTAGTATGGAATATTTCATTTTTAAAAAGCTGTTGTTGCCTGAAGATCCTTAGCTGCCTTTCATGTTTTTCTATCTTCTGACTTAAGTATACAGTCTTATTTTTTAATAGTTGACAAACCCATACATCGAGCACACTGTATCCTGTTTAAAGAATTTTGGTTGAGTCATCTCCTAATAATGGGAAACGTGTAATGGGATAGGAAGGGTTGTGGCAATACTAGACAGGATACTCACAAATGTAAATATTCTTCTTCTTCTTATATTCTTCATATATTCTTCTTATAAGTTTCAGATATATAGAAACACCTTGAAATTATGTATTAATATGAGCTTGAAACCACAACTGGATGCTTTTATTAGTTCAGTTGGTTTGTTCATGCCATTAATATCTTTGTATGCAACATCATGATATATTAAGAGGCAGAAGTTTATTTCAAATATGAGGGACTATTATGCGTTGTTATGTACAAATGTGCATCTTAAACTAAACTGTTTTGTTTTTGAAGCACAACATTTACATATTGAATAAAGTTCTTCACTATGTCTCAGCCAGGCTGTGTTAAGCGATACTCGATGACGCTGTTGTTGGGGTGGGTGCTCTGTATCGTTGTGGCACCAGCGGCCAGTCAGGTAAAAGTAAATACTGATATGATTGTAGAGAATTGAAACTAATTTGCCTGTGGCTGATATGTCGAGGAGAAAATGTGAGACGCCAGGTCTGAATCGAAACTGGGTCCTTGCTGAGAGTGAAACACAGCCTGTGCTGCTGCGCATTCAGATATTTAATAAACACTCAGAATTGTACCTTTGCTAAACCAAAGAGTACTAAAGTGTCTCGACGTGTTTAGAACTTTTGTTGTAGATTCAGATATTTTTCACACTTAATTAAGTGATCTTGCTTTTTAAACATGAACAATAACAATCATTTGATTAGTTATTTTTTTCATACCATCCTAGTAAAGTTAGACAAAGTGGCAAAGTCACTTTTGGACTTTCTTTCGACGTTAAGGTACAATATGTAAGAATAGATCTCTCCACCTGTCAAATTTATACTCCAAAAAAACAGGGGGCAGCATTTCAAATATCAATTCATAACTGTTGTTTACTGCCGTTAGCTAGTTACCCTGGCATCTAACTTAACGGCCCTATTTGCTGATCAGGAATGGGCACCAGAAACAGGCACCAGAAACAGGCGAGGCTGCTGCGAAACTGGGCTCAGCAGCCTCCCAGTCAGACCGGGGCCGAACACAGCCTCTGAGACTGATGTAGGCCAGTTTGATGAAAGGGAATACAGTGTGTTTGTGTGTGTGTAAATACATATCTCTGCAACATGATACATAGACGTCTTATGTTACTGTAACTTATTCACATTCTGTTGATAATGTTTAAATGTTTTAAACTAAATTCTGGCCAAATCTCACACATTGTACCTTTAATTGCTAATTATCAAATGATTATTTAGTAATTTGAGTGTATTATGGAATATATATATGTATATAAACCCCAGTATACCACAGTTAATCTATTTGTTTCAAAAAATGCTACCAGAATCTCAGTTACTTATTTACCCTCAGTGCAAGTACTAAATGAAAATGTATTCATTCTGCTATAAGAAAGTGTTGAATAAGGTTAAATAAATATGTTTATAGGCAGACATGGCCTCTCAGGTAAGTCTTTGCACAGTAACTCATTGAAAGTATTGTGAAAGCAGTTCAAATGACTCACCCAGCATACACTACTTTTTCTCCCACTCACACAGGCGACCTGATTTCTGTCACTAGAACATAACAGTAGCATGCTGCTACTGTGCTAATGACTTTTTGCTGTCCGCTGTGCAAAGCCATTTGTCTCCTTAAGCAAACAACTTTTACAGTATCTGTCGGAGCCACCGCTTACTTATCACGAGCTGCCTTTACAAATACACATTAAAAGAGAAGCTCCACCGATCACAAGATTTGTTCATTGTAAAGATGTTTGTTTTGTCGTGAATAAGAGCGCTTTCTTAAGGTCTGTAAGAAGCAGTAAATCAATAGTGAGTGGTATACCCCTTAACAAGTCTGCACACAGTCTGCCAGTGGGCCAGTCAATACAAACGCAAGCTCTGCAGCCTAATGTGCAAACCCAAAGAACTTTAGTTTGTTTATGTATGTTGTGAATGTATATGATGAGCATCTTGAACACTGATGGAATGGTGCAGTTATAAAAAATGGAATTAATATTTCACTCAGTGTAAACATCTTCATCTGTCTCCAGATGAATGTAAGTCCAATATTCACTCTCCTTTTAGCTCTGTTTTTGTCTCCGGCAACTGCAGAGGGAAATATCTGTGAGACTCTGACGTATGACCTGCAAAGCAAGGGTCACGTGACTGATGGGTAGAAGGGAGAGCATGACTGCTAGCAAGCTAATCTGCTCGCACGTTTACTTGCCGGCTCATGAGCTATTATGTGATTGTTATTTTATTTGTGTTTATTTGTCCCAAAAATCAATAGCTGTAAGCTAGCTAGCAACAGATAGCCGTTTTTTTGTTCAGCATTGACGAAAATTAATTTTGCTTTCTGTTTGAACACACAGTGAGAGTTTTTCTTTGAAAATGTTACAATGGATACATCTCAGAAGGAACTGATTATTGGAAGTGGTTTTTGTTGTTTATTTACTACAGTGGCATTGAGCTCTGTCCTCTTCATTATTTTTATTTCTTCAGCAGAAACTGAACAGAGCTGTTTTTTGCCTGGCGACAGACCCCCACATTCAAGAATTTGAGGGAAAATGATGTGAAAACAGAACTGTAATACAGAAACTGATCAATAACTTCTATTTAGTTCTTAAGACATCCCAAGTTTAGTTGGTTTCTCCCATAAATTGTCTTTATATTTCAACATTTTAGCATTGTCCGGATCACAATTTTTCGAATTTAACTGATAGAACCAAGAAACACAGCCGGTTAATTAACAAACTTTACTGCGTTTTTGTCTTTGCTGTTCAGAGTTTTACTAAGTTGACTTATTTGCTTTTTCACTATTACTTAAAGGTCCAGCGTGTAATATTTCTGAGGCACTATTGACAAAAATGCAAAATAAGATCCATAACTATGTTTTCAATGGTGTATAAAGACCTTACATAATGAACCGTTATGTTTTTATTACCTTAGAATGAGACATTTATATCTACATA